ATCGATCGTAACCGATACGACCTGATGTAATTCAATCAGCAACAGATTCCATTCAAATGTAAAATTGATATAAATTGAAAGGCCCTAAACACGAAAATAGCGAAAATAAATAAATCGATGCTATTTGTCGTTCGCGCACAAACTTGATCGATTACGCTGCTCGTCTACAAAAGATTATTCTGTCGTTTTATTAAGAAAAATTGACGTTGGAAAGATAAAATTCCGTCGTCGACGACCGTCAACGCTGAACGGCTGAATTTTCTATGAGCAATTCCCGCGAGAAATTTCGAAATTATTTTCAAAGATCCTCCTCGGTCCGCCAGCTCGTAATGAAATTTTCGATTTTCGTTCGAGTGCACGTGGAGTTTGCACTTGTCCAATGAATGTTTAATAGGCGACGCATTGGCGTACTTGTATCGAATTATATTTAGGTTTTAGGTTGTATGTAGGTTGTTTGGAGTTCGGCAGGGATGTTTCTTAGCGCCTCTACTATTCAACATATTCATGGCAACGCTCTCCATTTTAGTGCATAGCAAACTGCAGTAGGGAGGATTGGGCATTAGATATAGATACGACGGTGGTTTGTTCAATATAAAAAGACTCGGGGCAAAAACATGTACAAAATTCATCACAGAACTTCAATAGGCTGGTGACTGCCCTCTAGTTGCAAAAACGTTACAGCAATTACAAGAAATGTTGAATACATATACCTGGGTATACGAGGCTTTGGGCCTTAAGCTGAACATCGACTAAACTAAAAGCATGTGCACTCTCCCGAAAGATTACAACAATGCTATAAAAATTGGGAAAGAACTATTGAAATATGTAGTGGAATTCAATTACCTCGGCATGGCAGTTTGATTTCGGGCAAAGCTAATATCTACTCTGAAATTAGCAGTGCAGCACAGGATTAGCAGCGCCTCAATAGCATTGAGGAAATTAAAAGACAGGGTTTTCTAGAAATATGACTTGACCACAAAAACGAAACTTACAGTGTACCAAACAATAATAATCTCCACCATGTTATCTTCTTTCTCTTCTTCTTTCTCAGCCTGGTTCCATCCAGTGTTGGATATAGGCCTCTTCTAGGTTTTTCCATGCTTCGCGATCTCTAGCCAATCTTATCCATTTTCTTCCCGCCACTGCCCTGACGTCATCGACCCATCTCTTTTTTGGTCGGCCCACACTTCTTGTTGTTCCCCTAGGTCTCCATAGGATTACTTTTTGGGGCCATCGGTCTGGATTCTGTCCTGCCACATGTCCTATCCATTGCCACTTCAGACTTGCCACTCTTTTAACGACATCTATTAATTTTGTTTTTTAAATTATGTGGGTATTCCGTATTTTTTCCCTAATGGTGACTCCCAACATGATTCTTTCCATGGCTCTTTGTGCTACTCGTAGTTGTTCTGCTGTTTTTCGGGTAATTGCCATAGTCTTTAAGCCATACGTAAGCACAGGTAGAATGCAGCTGTCGTAAGCCTTTTTCATTAGGTTCATGGGCACCTTTTTATCCTTGAAAATATCGCTCATATTTCCAAATGCTACCCATGCCAAATGGATCCTGCGTTTGATCTCCGTATTTTGGGTTTCCTTGCCCAGCTTGATTTTATGACCTAATATATATAATGGTCTACGTTTTCAATAATAACGTTGTCAACGGTAATGTTATGGATATTGTTGCTCATTATCTTGGTCTTCTTCAAGTTCATTTTAAGGCCAATTTTCTGGGATTGGTCATTTAGCTCATTTAGCATGGTGTTTAGTTCTTGAATGTCGGTGCTCAGCAAGACAATATCGTCTGCGAACCTCAGATGGCTAAGGTGTATCCCATCGATGTTTAGACCTCTATTTTCCCATTCTAATTTCTTGAAGACATTTTCCAGTGCCAGTGTAAATAACTGTCTCACGCCCTTGCCGGGTGGTATTTTTTCTGTTTTGAGGTCATCATCTAATTTAACTTGGAAGGTTGCACTATCATAGATATTTTTAATAATGGAATAATATCTGGAATCAATTCTCGCGTGCTCCATTGCAGCTAGAAATGACCAGGTTTCGATGCTGTCAAAGGCTTTTTGGTAGTCTACAAAGACCATGTTATATGAAATGGAAACCTGGGTGCCGATACATGAAAGCATTAAACAAGTTGCAACAGAGAAACCTTAGACAACTCTTAAGAATCAAATGGTTCCATCATGTTTCAAACGTATCGATCCTTAAAAAAGCTAACTGGAGAGTATTGAAGTTATGATTACAAAATCACGCTTAAGATGGGCTGGTCACGTACGCAGAATGTAAGAAAACCACATACCAAAATCTCTGCTTTACGGTGAGCTTGTAGACGGTAAGAGGAGGCCGGGTGGACAACTCAAAAGGTACAAGGATATTTTCCACAAAAACTTAAAGGGGATTAACATGCAGAATGGCTGGGTATCAGCAGCCGATAAACGCAACGGTAAACGCAATGGTTAAATCAAACTCGGTGGCAGCGACGACCAAAAAGTAAAAAGGTAATAAAGCAATGATATTTTTGAATGTCCGGACTGTGGTAGATAGACAACATCACGTTTCAGTCACAGAAAAGCTCATGAAAAATCACGCTTTGCGTGACCATCTTCTGATGCGTTCAAATACTCGTCAGCGAGTAATGGCAGTAGTAGTATTTAGGTTGTAGATTGTATGGGAGGGGGGAAGTTAATCACCGCGACCTTATAGATCAATTGTGTCCTTTTTTCTTGACCTATATCTCATAATACAGTATCAGGGCTTTGACTAAAGCCACTATCTGGACGGTTTTACAGAGGTTAGTTCTCTATCTTCGATATCAGTCGTATCAAAGTTTATGGCACAAATGATAATGTGAATCTTGTAATTCTAATGTGAATGATAATGAATAATCTTATGTTTCCTCATTTTCCCCATAGAATCTGCATTTGCCGTTGTTTCTCAGGTTCAACCTATTGTATAGGTGTTCGTTGAGGAGACAGTGTCTTATTAAAATCCCGTTGCAATTCGAAGATTGTTCTTACTTAAATGAAGGAAAAGTTTTGAGATTTTTCTCGGTTTTAAGTTCCTAGAAATTTCGTCGAATGTTTTATACCCTTGGAGGATTTCCATTCCATGTTACGGATGGAGTCTTCCAGCTTGCTGAGTTCCGCTTTAAGTTTCTTCTTGGGAAGCAAAACGATTCTATAATGGAGTGTTCGCTCCATTTCTAACTAGATCGTTTGCTTTTTCATTACCTGCTACTTCTTGTTGGGTTGGCAGCCAGTGTAGGAGGATTTTATTTTCTTTGCCTAATTTGTTCAGCTTCTCTAGGCATTCCTTGACTAACTTTGAATTGATAGTTAGAAGGTTGATCACTTTTAAGGCTATTTGACTATCCGAGAAGATTAATATTTCTTGTTTCAGATTGTATTCAAGATAAGTTATACGCATCTTTCAATAGAGTAGATTTATGCCTGAAGGCTGCTGGGGTATTTAGTTTTCGGCCCAAATACTTCAATCTCTGTTCCTGATTTGATTTTGAAAGCATCAGTATACCGCGTTATCGTATGATCTTTTAGCTGCTGAGCAAACGTTTACTCTTCCAATTTGTTTTGTTGTTCATTGCTTAGTTGTACATTCTTGGTATGTCATCCACTGGGAGTTGGAGGAGTGGAATGTTCCTTTGCAGGTGTATTCTAATCACTGTCGCAATCCCGTATCTACTAATGACAATGTGCAGTGGTGTGAGGTCTAGAACAATGATTAAAGAAGCTAACAAAGACTAATAATACCCGAGACCAAATTGTTACCATACCTCCAAATAGTTCCATGGTACATATTTTTCTTAAATTAGCTGCTTGATGAAATATATTTTTGATAAATGTTTTGACTACGCCTATGGTGTATGCCGCGGTATCGTACTAATTAATTACGAAAAAAAAACGTATGAAAATGTTAACAAAAGGTACAAAACTAGTATCGACAATGTACTTATAGCTCATATCAAGTACCTACATATAATATCAGAAAAATTAATATCGAATTCAAAAAGAAAACGCTAAAAAGGTGGAGTGGACTGTTTATTTACCTATGAAAACGAAACTCCTGGCTCATTCTCATCGCTGGGACTTTTACACTTGGAAGCTGAACAACTAATCACCATTGTAATAAAGTTTATACAACACAGACTCACAAACTATTAAAAATCGTTAAAATTGTCGCTGATGACCAGGTGATGACTAATTCGTTACATCCAAAAAAATGACTTCTAACATCACAAATTTTGCTGCACCCCGTATATGGGCATTACGTGTCCTTGTATTATTTAGTCATTGATCTAGAATGACCTCCATGCAGAGGATGGGCAGGTTCTCACATTTCAGAATTAAGAAAAGAATTATAAAGTTTTATAGGTGCCCGGTGGCGTAGAGGTACAAGCTCTCGTCTACCAATCTCAAGGTAGTGGGTTCGAATCCTACACTCGGCATTTCATCAGCCGACTATTTTTATTAAAATAAAAATAGTTTGGGTACCTAGGCCGACTCAGCCTTAAATGAGTAGGGATTCACAATCCTGAGGTAATAATAGGCGGTTGAAGCGTAGTGCTAGCCACATTACCTTCCTTGTATACCGAACGGCTCTAGCATGGCAAGCTGTACCTTGCTACTCCCAAGGCGTTAAATATACGGGAGCTATTATTATTATTATTAATTATAACATTTTAATGTTTTTTTTTCTTAAGAGACAATAAATTTGAGGCTTCACATTTATTGAAGAACCGCTGCACTGAAGAAGAACTGCACCTTCTTTTATCATGATCATCATCATCAAAGAACAAGGAAAATACCACACATTTTTATACAGACATTAAGGATTAGATGCAAGAAATATCTCCTAAAATCAATGTAATTTTAACGTGTAAGAAATACTGATACGCCGGATACGCCCACATCTACCTATCTTTATTTCTTCCAAAATTTCTAATTCTACTAATGCAGTCTTCTTTTTTCTAGATTCCAATTAAAAAAAATAATGAGGTGGCAGTGTAGCTGACCAAAGCCGCTTGGGTATGGCGACAGGGTACTAGGATGGACAGGCGGCGGTCAGTGAGGCGACAGGGGCGGCGCTACAGACGGCCTTGGTTCAAAAAATGCAAAGAATACGCTAGAAATTTTATAGCTTTTCTATTTAGTAACGTAGGAATTATTGGACTTGTGGTACGTAATTTGTTCGAATTCTTAAGACACCAAAAACAGTTTCTTGGTCTAATGAGGATCCCGTTGTTTGCAAACCTTCTTCTTGCTTGAAATTATTTTTTTTTAAATAATTTACTTAAAGATAACCTTTAAGTAAAATCATAATAGCGTTACTTATTTTTATTTTTTTGATTAATAGTCTAAGAGCTGGCTACATAAAAAACCTTATCATCGTTACATGGCTAATTTTTTGTGTGAAGTATCTTTTTGTGTAGCCATTATGAAATAGTCATGTATGTCAGCGCGATCCCGGGGCTTAAAGCGGGAGCGGCCAATCGAAAGGGTGAAATTTTGACACTAAAAATATTCCAAAAAAATCCTATATGGGTTTATCGCCACTGCAAGAAAATCTACAAAACAAAATAGTTATTTATGTAAACACTTCTGCGTTAATCTCAAACGGAAAATACTTGTCAGAAGTTAGGTTTAAAGATATACAAATTCGCCTAACGAACAAAAAAATGCTTAACGTTTCGGAAAGTTTATCTCTTTCCGTCGTCGGAAGCAAAAAAATACAAAGAATAAAGAAAAAAACTATTTAATATATTTAAATTCAACTATTCGAGAACACTTTATTTTCTTTAAACAGATAGGTACGTCTACAACCATAGATAAAAGAAAATAATCTTCTATTAAGATAGATATGAAACTTAATAGTAAAATTTTGTGTCAAAGCGCCCCTCCGTGTTCTTAGTAGAGACTACGTTTATCCCAGCGCCTTCGCCATTTCTGCTGTAAATATTTTTTATGTTTATATTTGATTTCAAAGGATTTAGTTTTAAAGTTACACTGATATATTAGTATATCAGAGTAACTTTAATAAAACATAAGAATATATATATTTTACAGTTTATTAAATATAAATTTTGACTATAAGGTAGAAAGTAAATCACAATATTTGATGAAACTTATAAGTACCTATACCATTTCCACAGTTAATTAATAATAAAACTATTTCTGACTATGATATTTAAAATTTAGATAGATAGAATATTAAAAAACATACCGGTATTTGCAGATGCAGACCCAAATTCAATAAAAACCAAAATTTTTCCTTTTCCGAAAATCGGGCTTTTTTCACAGAAAAGGTATTTTTTGATTTATCAACAATCATTGTCAAGTTGACAATATACAGGGTGTTTTCTAATTAGTCTAAAAAATTGTGGTGTGATTCCTCATGTGTTCTTAAAACAATTTTTATATAACCATTGGGTCTAAAGCACTTCCTTTCTGATCTACAGGGTGTTAAAAATTTTAAAAACATCGATATTTTGCGTAACATAAATGGTACACTACTGCTTTTTTAAAGAAAATATATTTTTTTCTTGGCTGGTCATCCTTTTTCAACAAAATTGATCTTTTGAGTTTTTCTTGTTCATCAAACAGTTGCCGAGAAAAAAATAAATATACTTATTAAGAGCCCGCCTTAAGCCGTTTTCTAACGATTTTTTTTTATATTAATTAGGAGACACCCTGTATATGCATATCACAGGCAACCAAATAAACTAGTAACCTCTAAAAATTATTTTTCCTACCACTAGCGACATACCGTGTTTTTAGTGAGTACTAAATTATTTTATCAAAATTTCACCATATAAGTTTCCAGGCAATGGTCTACAACACGTCTACAAAAACCGTTGACGTTCTGTTAAAATGACATTATATCAAGTTAAACTTCAAAATTAACAATTACTACCTGATAACAATTACTTAATAAGGTAAAACCAACAATCCTCAAACTTTCTGTATGATTATTTTTAATGTTTACGTATGTTATGTTCATTTATGTTATGTTCTTTAAAATCAAGGAAGCGATTGCCATAGTAGCGTTAGTTATTTTTATTTTTTTGATTAACCTTTAAATAAAAATAAAATGTCTTAAAGGTTTACATTAGGTTTGTTCCAACAATGTAGAGAACCGCTCTTGGTACGGATATGCTTATAATATGTCCAACATGCTTATACGCAGTAGGGAAAGAGCGTTCCATGTTCCATCCAATAAAAGATTCGAAATTTATATCGAAATTATATTTAACAGTAATACCGTAGGAGTCCAGTGGCTTGGAAATGAACATCAATGACATTCCCCATTTAATTTTACATACAAAATGACAGCGATCTTCATTTCATAGCCATCGCTGACGCCGTTTTTATTCGATCATACGGTATATTTAGTCAACAATAATTCAGATTTCTATAAAAAACTACCTAAAATTATTATTGAGAGTCAATATGAAATATGAATGTCTTTTATCTACTCATCAGTAATCTTGGCTCAAATTTCACTGAAGTGTTATAGCACAAAATGAAGCAGCGCTTAAGGAACTTTTCATAGATAAAGAAGAAAGTACTTAAGCTTGAACTGGAAGGCGTTTACACCCGAATTTGGCAACTCATTAGAGAGAGACTCCAGCCAGATCGAACTTTAAGCTGTTATTAAACTAAAAGGGGTCAGAACTTTCTATTAAATAATATAATTACACTTTCGTCCCAATAATTAGTTACCAGGCTCATTCAAACATGTCTTTAGTAATTTTTGTTTTTGTTTTTAAAGGTTAAATACAGTTTTTAAAGATATGGAAAATTCCCCCAATGCAGCTCATAACCTGATACATAGTATAAGATAAGCGAATATCTAGGCAGGTTATATCCATGCAAGTTATCGTATGTCGACAGGCTGGTTATGAACAGGCTGTGATTATTACGAATTTTTATTTCGGGTTGTAGTGTTGTAATTTCTGAACTGTAGTTGATATTCGCATAAAAGCTGGTGTCTTGGTGTTTTTTGATATGAGAAATTTGATTTCGATGTAATTATAACTGCTACCTGTAGGAAGCGCTGCCTACATGTGTTTCAACTCTTTTGAAGTGTAATAGCGTTTTGTCCGTACTTGTATAAAACTACTTAATGAAAAAATATACATTTCCGTCATTTTTTATGTTAAAAACGCCTCTTGGTAAAAATCGATACGAGGAACCGTTCTCCAGATATTTAGAACGTAAATAGTAATACATGTCATTATTGACAAAAAATAAACATGTTGAGTAGATAGGTAGTTTTTTGACTGAAGTGATAAATTTGGAAACGTTTAATTTTTTTAATATTAAATAAAGATATATGTAATATAAGATAGATAGTAAATTATTAATCATAAATTTTTCGTCGAAAAAATTATAATAAAACAGTTTCTGTTGAACTACAAACTAAAGCAGAGTTTACACTGTGTCACTTTGGATGTACAACCAAAATGAATCACTTAGATTGAATTCATCCAAATTGAACATCCTTGTTTACATATTTTCATCCAGTTCGCAGCAGTTCACTGTTTCATCTTCCGCAGGCTGCTACATCTCCCAGTGTTTTGCCACCTCTCCGAGGTTAGCCGCACGGGTCGGCCTCGGCTGTTTACATTTTCCACTTGCCGTTTAATCTGGATGAATCAACGGTTCGTTGAACGCTCTTTCAACAAAAGTAGGAAGACCGTCAACTTGTTTCATCGTTCAATTTTAGTGTACACTTTGGATGAAACAGTGATGAAAGGCAATTTATACTTATCACTTTGGATGATTCATCCAAGTTGTACATCCAAAGTGACAAATGTAAATGAGCCTTAACAAATTTATTATTTCAGTCTAATAACTATTTACTCAACATGTATAATTCATGTCAATGATGATAGGTATTGATAATGTCGATTCCAAATATTTCGAGTACCATACTCGTAGAGGTTTTTACCAAGAGACCTTTTTTACGTAAAAAACGTCGTAAATGTATTTTTTCAGTAATTTTATACAGGTACGGACGAAAAGTTATAACTCTTCAAACTATTTGTAATATGTGTAAGTCGAGGTGTAAGTGGACCCTCTATACAAGTAGGAATCATATTGACACCAAAATCAAATGTATCATGCCAAAAATACTGCTGCCCAGACACCAATTTTAATCCAAAAATTATTTAGAAAAAGTCGAAATAAAAATGAAACTTACACTCTGTATCTCCGAAACTAAGCATTTTAGGACATACGCGCTTTTTTACTTATTTTTATATACCGGGTGCGTCTTAAAAGTGGCACACCCCTATTACTTTTTTATTTTTTCAGATAAAACAACGAGATTTGGTATGTTAGTATATGACATAAATTAGGATTGATTGACATATTCAACTGTTTTCGGCCACTTCCGGTTTCACTGGAAATTACTACAACTTTTGATTTTTAAATGGCACCCTCGGTATTTTTTTACTTTATTCGATAGAATATGTCACTCTGAATAGAATGACATATCATATGTCAACTTTTGACATTTTTGCATATGGTTTATTTGAAATTGTAAAATGCGGTTCATAACGACAATTTGACTCGAAATACCAAGTGTGTGGTATCAGAATATTCGTAAAAAATGCTTTTTTTCAAATATACTAAGAGGCATCCTTGTTCCATTTGAAAAAACTGATGATTAAAAATACGATTTGGGCATCTTTTAACCGGCCAGGACAAAACATTAAAAACGTTAGACCATCAAATGTATTTTTCCAAGGCTCCTTGATTATAAATTAGTGTTTTTAATACACCCATGGTACTCTAGATCGAAATTTAAAATACAATTTGTTTTTGAGCGAATATGTCAAAAGTTGACATACTGTTGTTAATTTGTTTATTACTCGCGGCAAGAGCTTTATGGTTGAAATATGGCAACCTCGGCCCGCTCGTCGATAGACGACGCGACGGGACGAGTCGGCAGAAAACCCTATAAGTGCATGCGCTCTCAATAGGCAGTGTTGCCATTTTGTTTCCCTATAAGTAACTGTCGAGTTAACAACCTGTATGATATGGCATTCGATTCAGAATGTCATTTTTTATCGAAATCTAAAGTAAAAAAAAGTTGTAGTCATTTCCGGTGAAACAGGAAATTACCGAAAACAATTGAATACGTCAATCAATCCCAATTTTTGTCATACATTAACATACCAAATCTCGTTTTTTTATCTGAAAAAATAAAAAAGTTATAGGGGTGAGCCACTTTTGAGACGCACCAGGTATAATATGTTGCCGAACTTTATCGAATGCAATTCGGACCACCCTGTATATGTATTTTATAAACTTTATTAAATAGATATTTTTTGTAGATAGGATATACTATAGCTGGTTCGTTCATGATTCAAGCTTTGGAACGAGGAAAGCCCATTCCAGTTCAATTATATGCAATAGGAAATAGAACTATGTTCGCCAAGAAGTTGTGGAATATAACCATGGAGCTGAATGCCAATGTCAAGTTAAAAGAAAAGGAGTACCGTGATACTATTGACGTAGAACTGATTCGATTCCAAGAAGTATGTATTTAGTTTTAGTTATAATATAATTTAATAAATCAGGGCCATTCTCAAATCAATATAACATATAGTTTAGTAGTACTTGTATAGTTTATATCAAATACATTTTTAGTCACGTGATTAAGCTTGACCGGCACAGCGTTGCCCACTTTTACATATTTTCTTTTAATAAAAATATTTTAGGAAACAAAAATAAATAAATTATAAATATATAAACAGAAATTATTTAGATCAACAAAACTCACCTTCTTAACAGCACTTAAAGGACACATAAAGGGTCATTCCACCGCTTTCCCGTTCAAAATATTCTAATAAAGTTGTGATGAGTTTTTTACAGCTATTAAGCTATCTTGTTTACTTCACATTAACAGAGGTTCTAAGAAGAAAAAGGTTCGCCTGCAAGGTCTGCTAGTAAAAAATTTTAAGCTTAAAATATTACAAAACAATTCATTTAAATCAAAAACTCGCAGTACAAAACTAAAGTGTCAAAACGAATGACAATATCAGGAAATAAATAAATAAATGTGGCAACTGGACATTTTTTTACAGCAAAGCTACAAGTTGAATCCCCAGCGGGAATTATAAATTTCAGTTTGTTAGCCCCACGCCGAATATGTCCATGGGTGGCAACAATGAAATTAAAAATCGCGCCCTCGATTACGTAACTAAAAGTTTAATTGGTATCAAATATATGTATATTATCGCATACTACTTTTTTTAAATTAGCAGTAAATATATTTTCTAAAATTTTGTGGGAAACAAAGAGTAAACAACAATAAGTAAATTGTAATAGAACATAATTATACATATGTTTTTTTTATAGATTTTTGTAAATTTAACAAGAAAAGGATACGATGGCAGTGATGATGCTTATGGATATAAATCATGGAGTTTTGCAGGTGCATTTTTGTATTCCCTTACGGTAATAACAACTATTGGTAAGTTTTTTAAAGATAAAAATCGATAAAAAATTAAAAAAAAAAACATTATTGTCTTAATTTCTGTTACTATACCGTTTAAAAATAAAATTAAATTTAATCAATAAGTATATTGTAACATTTCCTGTTACAAAGGAAATGAACATAAATTAATAAGAAATTCATAAATGTTACAACAATTTTACTCGAAATATTAAGTATGTGATTTTATCACCCTTTCTGTAGCATTGAACTAAATAAATCTTGTGCTTCCTCAACATTCAACTTCCTCACAAAAAAAAACCGGCCACTAAAAACTAGACCCAATTTCAAAGTTGGGTCTCGCGAACCACTCATTAGATTTTGATGATTTTTCTTTTAAATTGTGAATTAATTCCTTTTTAACGGATCCTTCGTTAGAAATTTTTTTTCCGAATTTATTTTACCAATGGAAGCACAAGAGACAAGCCAAAGAGATAATACAGAAGATTATGCGCAAATCACTTACAAGCAAGTGAAAGAGACAATAAGGAAACTTTCAAAAAAAAATCTCCTAATCAAGATAAAATACCAAACGAGCTAATAAAAAACGCAGGCACGGCTATCATAGAGGAATACACAAAACTGTTTAACATTATATTACAACATAAGAAAATACCAGAAGAATGGAAACAAAGTATAACAATACCGATTTTTAAAAAGGGAGATAAAACAGACCCAGCGAACTATAGAGGAATAACATTATTGAGCACCTCGCTAAAACTTCTGACTAAGATCATTGCGGACAAAATCTCCTCAATAGTGCCAATAAGCGAGGAACAACAAGGATTCCGAAGAAACCGATCAACTACCGATGCACTATTCATACTCAGGCAACTAGTTGAAAAATCCTTAGAATATAACTCTCCAGCCTATCTATGTTTTATCGATTTAAAAAAGGCCTTTGATAGAGTCCAACTAAAAGACATCATCACCATCTTGGAAAGCAGTAATGTCTCGAAAGAACTCACAGAACTTATCAAGGACTTAAACACAATCACAACAACCCAAATAAGAACAAACTTTACCTTAACGCAGCATCTTCGAACTACAACTGGTATTCGCCAAGGCGACAGTCTCAGCCCTCTGTTATTCACACAATCATGGATCAAGTAATAAAAACCGTCAAGAATACTGGATTAGGATATCGAATGGGAATGCATAAAGTAAACATATTATGCTATGCCGATGACGCAGTACTTATTGCAGAGTCAGAGGACGACCTCCAAAGAATGCTACAAGCTTTTAACAGACAGGCAGAAAAACTTAACATGCAAATTTCCACAAATAAGACCAAATGCATGACCATTACAAAGGAGCCTCTACGGTGCAAATTGGTAATAAAAAACAAAACTATTGATCAGATAATGTCATTCGAATACCTCGGATGCAAAATTACAAGCTCAGGATTCCTGGAAGAAGAAGTAAGGAAACAAGCCAATAAAGCTGCCGCAATATCAGGACATCTTAAATATCCCATATGGAAAAACAAACATTTGAGTACAGAATGTAAGTCAAGAATATACAAAACCTGCATACGACCAGTGATGACATATGGTGCGGAAACCAGAGCTGAAACATCAGTAACAAAGAGAATCCTACGAACTACTGAAATGAAGACCTTAAGAATGATAACTGGATACAAATTGAGGGACAGACAGAGAAATGTAGACATAAGAGAAAAGTGCCAAACAAACGACGTTGTCAGATGGATAAGGCAGAGAAGAGAATGGAACCAGCATGTCAATAGAATGGGCCCCGACAGAATGGCCATAATAATTCGCAACAACGTACCCCATGGCAGAAGACCTACTGGACGACCACCTAAACGTTGGCAAGACAGTTGGCAGTCAACTTCGCAAGAGTTGCTTAGACGAGGAGGAAACCGGAACTAAACATACGCCTTCTAAAAGAAGAAGAAGAAGAAGAAGAATTTATTTTGAGCATATACAGGGCACAACAATAAGACGAAGTTTTTTGCCCGAACTTTGTAACACCCTGTAGGGTGCAGCAGCGGTAGTAGCTATTGCTAAAATAAATCGCATTGTAGCCTCAACTTTTGTGAGCATTTTGTTTTTTTAATCACCACATTATCTCTTTTTGTATTGGAGATATGCTGTTTTAAAACGAACGTCTCGGAAAAATTCAGAATCATCTCGGAAAAGGCAGAAAGTTTTATGTGTAAATAATCAAAGCGACATAGGCGAAAACGAATTTATGAGTATTTGCAATATGAGAAAAACGGTTGTCAAATTAAAAAATGCCATTATCTGTAACGATGTTGCTCGTATTGTGGCTTTAATTGGGGATGGCCGAAGTCAACGTTATGTCTGCCGAAACCCTATACCCAGGGTTTCGAACAACATTCCAGGATGCCTGGAATCGGTATACGGAAACGGGAAATTTCACCAGGCCAGTGGACACTAGATATTAGTTCCTTAAAATTTCTTTACCTTTTTTTAATTTTCATGTTTTAGTTAGTTTACATCTACGTTCTGATGTTTGATTTGATCTTAAAGCTTTTTCGAGGCGTTTGTTTTAAAGCAGCGTATCTCCAATACAAACAGAGATAATGTCGTGTTTAAAAAAACAAAATGCTCACAAAAGATGAGGCTACAATGTGATTTGATTTAGCAATAGCTACTATAGCTGCTGCACCCTACAGGGTGTTGCAAAGTTTGGTCAAAAAACTTCGTCTTATTGTTGTGTCCTGTATATGCTCAAAATAAATTCGGAATAAAAATTGCTGACGTAGCATCCGTTAAGAAGGAATTCATTTACAATTTAAAAAAAAAATCATCAAAATCTAATGAGTGGTTCGCGAGAAACCCAACTTTGAAATTGGGACTAGTTTTTAGTGGCCGTTTTTTTTGCCGGTGAGTGTATATAAAAATTTTAAGGTGTTCGTTTTTCGTGCCGGTGAGTGTATATTTTTGGAAACTAATTAAACTAAATTAAAAATAATTCTGCCGAATTTATTGAAATTCATAATTTTAATAATCTCTGAATAATAACATCAATTTTATTATCCAAAACATCGCTTGTTTTTATCGCCTCGCCTGCCATCTAAACGCCCTAAAAAGCGAATAAAACTTTGACAAATACGCTGTTCCATCAAAGCGTAAATCTTAGTATATTTCCCGGCCGAAATGAGAAAGGAAAATGAATGTCGCCTAGGAAAATATTTTTCAAAGCTCTGCGCGAGGGGGAGAGTGAAGCACTTAATCCTCGCTGCTGCGGCCCTGCGTTTTCTCTATTCAAACTTACATATTTCCCGTTCCAGTTGAAAAAATTAAGATTTTTTCCGAGGAATTTCTTATTCGGCCTGATGGTCCTCGGTCGCGTTCGAGCTTTTAGTTCGAGATAAAAACAGTTTTCCGGAACTTAATTTATTGTGACTGTTTTGTCGTTTAGTTTTTTTTTCTCTTGAAAATAGGACATGTTTTAACCCAGTTCATCGAAAATGTTCTACTGTTATATGTTTTTTCGTACAAGTTGATTGTTTTGAATATAAAAATTAAGGAAGAAACATTTCAACAATCTTAGGTCAAGCGCGATATAGGCCACTGCATTTAAGCTTAGACCCGGAACAAATTAATATAAAGATGAGACTGGTGGCAAATGGTAGTGTTTTGTGTCCTGATTAACACACTAAAAGTCCCCATCCCTCCGTTTTGCATAACAACCTTAAATCATGGCCGCTATCTTGATTTTCGGTACTTTTTCTATAAAAGCCACTGTTAACTGAAAAACTGCTTAAAACTTTGAAAAATTGCAAGAGAGGAAAATTAAAGAAGATAAAAAAATACATAAAATAAAGTTATTTTTAGGTTGCTACCTATGTATTCTTATAGGTTAACAATCAACGAAATACTAGGAAGTTATGAAAATTATCAATTTAAGAAATTAAATTATTATTTCAGCCTTAAATAGGATCATATTATATAATGTAGATATTGTTCATACATCTATTTATTATAATATTCATATAACAGTATTAAAACAATCTAAATAAAGGCTAGACCGTCACGTCATAAAGGTGACACCAGGGGCGCTATTCTGTAAAATCGTCGGTATCGGTAAGTTACGACAGCTCTCGATACGTATTTGTATATAGTAAAAATGTGTTAATTGTTGTTGTCATAGTTACCGATCAGTCCTATGGCAGTTATCGCAAATTTGTACCGACGAAAATCGGTTTCTCTACCGTGCCCTTGTCAACCTCACGGTCGAGATACCGAGAGTCGTCGGTATAAATTTGCGATATCTGTCATAGGGCCGATCGGTAACTATGACAACAACAATTAACACATATTTACTATATGCAAATACGTACCGATAGCTATCGGTAACTCACCGATTCCGACGATTGTAGGGGCGCTATTCTGTACAATCGTCGGTATCGGCAAGTTACCGACAGCTATCGGTACGTACGGCCAATGAGCGTCGTGTTGATTGTTGTTGTCATAGTTACCTATCGGCCCTATGACAGATATCTCAAATTTGTACCGACGACTCTCGGTATCTCTACCGTGAGGTTGACAAGGGCACGGTAGAGATCAAACTTTAAGGTATAAAAAGTGTTATTATTAATAAAATAGATTGTTTTATTTATGTTGTTTTATTTATTCCTGTGGAATATTACAAATTTTTATTTGTACATAAGTTATATTGATAAAAATATAATCATAAATGCGTGAAGTTTGATGAAGCTTGAATGTAACAAATAGTTCTTTTGTATATTTTTTGGTATGTGGTGTCTTGTTTTTGTTTGTTTTGTATTAACACATACCGTTTTTTGTTAAATAAAATAACTCGATTACATTTTTTTTATACAGTTTTTTTACGATATTTTCAAGTAATCATTTGTCACTCAAGTTTTAAGTATATTTCCTGTTATGCGTTCCAGTTGTACCAACTTATTTCTTTGTAAAATAAAACAAACTACTTTGAAATTAAAATGACAGACACATCTATCACTG